AATAGTTATTCAATAAACTATAGAATTAATAAAGTTAATAGATGATTAACATATGAACATAAACCGATACTCGGGTTTATTTTTGTCTGAATTAACCCGATCAGAAATGTCGGAAGGTGATTTTCAAAACAAAGACCCCATATGTTTTGGTGCAGAAATTAATTTTCTGCACCAAAATGTATAATGAAAAGCTCATAAATAGAAAGTTATCCGTAATATGCAAAATTTTGAGGATAATTAAAAGATAGCTACTTAAATCATATAGGTTTATAATAGTAATTAAATACAATCCTACCTATGATTTGGGTCTTCATCTTCACTATCATACAAATCCATCATAACATCAATTTCATTTCTGAGTTCTCTTATAATTTCAACAACTGTTTCTAATTTTTTTGGTGTTTTTGAAGTAACAGGTATAGTAATTGTAGGCTCAGTAGTTGTAGGTGCGGTAGTTGTAGGCTCAGTAGTTGTAGGTTCAGTAGTTGTAGGCATGATAGTTGTAGGCTCGGTAGATGTAGGCTCAATAGTTGCAATAGCCGATGTGGCAGTAGTAGTCCTAGTGGTTAGTGCATGAGTTGTAGTATTAAATGTGGTATTAGATGCAGTGTCAGGCATAGTATTAGACATCGTGATAGTAGTGATAGGCGTGGCAGTTACTGTAATTAATAGTACAGATAGATTATTAATACTGTAGATACTGTTATTTAGGCGAAACTATTTTTGGTAAATGGCAAAAGTCGAAATTAAACCCAGCAAAAGTTGAAACTGGCGAAACTCTGGCGAAATATCGAAATTCTGGTAAAACCCTGGTAAAGCTAAAATCCTGGAAAAAGTCAAACGTAGCAAAGAAAAATTCTCTAAGACTTTGGAAAGATTGAGCCATGTTAGTAAATCAAATGTTTTGTGTGACTATTAAGCACAGCATATAAAAATGTACAAAAGCAATAAACAAAGCGATATACTTTCGTTTATATTTGAATACAATTAAAAGAAAACTAGACTTATTATGCATACATAGGGCTGTAAAAAAGTTTATAGGAGTTGATTACACAGAGACTTTTTAGAATATAGCAATAGGGTCTGCATATCTTTTGTCCTGGTAATTGGTCATTTTGATTGGCTAATTGTCATGCTGATGACCAACACCCCTTGTATCGGTATTGCTAGGGTTGGGTACGATCACGGGTTACCCGATCGT